CGTTTATCTTGGCGGATTCTATCAGCTCTAAAGAACCCGACAGAGAGCATGACAGTCGGAGATGGATCCGCTTGCGAAGTTGCACTTGCGGGAAAGTGTCTTCGATCGACAAATGTCGCGACAAAATTATACATGATCTACATATTGATTTTGATTCGTATCTTCACTTGAAAAGATGGATACACGGCAAAAAGTACCTGACAATAAACAAATGTATTTGAGTTGAAGAAAGCAGAATTTCTGGCTCTTATGGACCAGATTCGATTTTTGTAATCAGAAATTCTGTTCCCTTCAACTTAAATCGGGGTTTTTTATTCGTTGTCACGTACATTCAACCAAACTTTATTTTTCGTGTAAAAATTTCGAAATTATGCGAACTGCAATCGAGTCAAATTGAATAGAAATCACGTTAGGTCGACAATTTGACGTAAGAATTCGAACTATAAAATTCTAGTGTCAAAATTAAAAGTCTTAAAATTTCTAAGTTGAAATGTAGTTCAAATGTAGTGTTTATGATTTCGATCTTTCAAGTATTGAGAAGTTGATCTAATTGCACAGTACGAATAATTCCGTCCGGCTGAAAAATTAAGTAAATCAGACGATATCGACTCTTCGATGTTCTCACGATTGCGATTGAAAAGCTCTGTGAAAGCGATCGCTCCTTCCTTGTCTTCCCCTTCTTCCCGAAAATCTCTTCGCGATGTCGCGACGCGCTCATTTTTACGCGTGATCCGAGAGCCTCGGCGTTCAAAGCGAAATGTTCATCGACGTGAGGCCGAGTGACGTCTCTCCAGGTTATTAGCGGCTAATTAGTCACTTACCCGGCACTCGGCCGCCGTCAGGGTCTACGTGAAAAGAGAGGGAAAAAAGGGCGAAAGAGTAGCGGGAGGGGCGCGCAAACGGACGGGATGAAAAGGCGTGTGACGAGGGTGAGATGCGCGGATTCATCATCATCCCTCGCGCCGGTGCTCGCCCATACGTTTATCTTTCGCGGTAAATGGGAATGACGTCGACGCGAGGGGACGACTCAATCAACCAAAATGCCCCGAGGTTTCTCGCGCGGCGAAAAAGAGAGAGAGAGAGAGAGAGAGAGAGGTAGAGAAAGGGCGAAAGGATGAGGGCATGCCGCGGGGTGAGAAAGAAAAAAACGAGACATCTCGTTTCGTTCTCGAGACAAGAGGAAAAAAGAGAGTGAGAGAGAGGGGGGGGAGGGGGGCAGATAGAAGATAGGAGGAGAGAACACGATGTGCCTGACAGATGGAGGAGAAACACGGTGTCATGTGGCTTTTAGGGACTTGGTCGCCTTGAAACTTCCGGTGTTTTTATTGTCCTCTTTGTCCGCCTCTATTTTCTCCCCGACCGCCGCGCTCGCTGCTTTATTTCGGTCTCGATTCACGTCGGTCCGCGTGAAGGGAGAAAGCCCGCAGATGCAAACCACGAGCTTCGTTACGGCTGTCCCACTTCCCCCTTCTGATTTTCGTTCTCTGACGGAGATATTTATTTTTAAACGGATATCTCGTGAAGATCGCGCCCTCCCGATGAAGAGGGGACTAATCGCTCTGATGAAAACGAGACACCCTCCCCAAGTCGGACTTTTGACTCCATATTGCCCATGCAAATTCCGAAGGTTCTATTGAGAATCTTGAGATCCAATGCTATAATACAGACCTACTATTATTGTCCTATTTCAATGCTAAAAATGTTTATTTACTACCGCTCTTTTCTATGTTGAGATTTGAGAACAGACTCGTTCATCATTATTCAATTACTTCGTTAGAATATGTGAGGTAAGAATATTAAATAATTAATACGAATAAATATATATACATAATGAGATTAACGTGTATAGGTAACAAACTCGCTTCATAATCTCTTTATCTCCTTCTTTTATATTGGCATTGAATGTTTCGATAAGATTCAGAGATTCAGAACGAATGAAGGGGAGGAAGCACCTTATCCTTATAAGAACAGTTATTTGCCCAATAATGCTGTGTATTAATGGAGGTTTAAATTTAGATTCGGTACAATAATAAGACTAGAGGGAAATGAAAAGAAGGCTTTGGCGAATTCAGTGTGAGATTTGCGGCCCAGGGAGAATTATTGGAGAGGCAAATCAGCTCTCGCGACTTGCATCAGTTTCTAAATTTCGACTTGGGCGTATCTCCTTATTCTAAGTCCGCCAAACGCCCGTTACAAGTTGGAAACGTTCTGTGTAATGGATGATTCGACATACCGAACATACTGAAAATTATCGTATGACGTATCTCTGGCTACCTCGTGGCGTCCTGCGTCCTTCGTTCTGACGTCCCGATGTAGTATCCTGCTCCTGACTGCTTCGGATACTCCATCGTGGCGCTGACACTGACACTCGCGTAGATACGATCGGAAAACGCGTGTTAATGAACGCGATGCCGACGAGAGAATCCGATGAAATATTTGTCGAGAACCGATGGAAATGACTAACTCCGATGCACGTGCTTCGGGGTACATGCGTCGTTCGCGTCGGCTTTCTACGTAATGACTACTCGGTCGCGGAAAAAAAGTACGCGACGTACGAAATTTCCAAAATAAACTACGCGGTAGCCGGCGTCGGCCGATGTAAGCAGTCGGAGAGGTCGCCGTAAAAACACACCGCATACCGGATCTTCCAGATGGTCTGAATTATCGAGACTGTCGTAAAAGTGCTCGAGTCGAAATTTCGAAAATAATCCGAGTCTCACGAGTGCTGATTTATACCTTTAATAATGTTCCGCGGGCTTTCAAGTTTCATCTCAAATCTGCCAACGCCTTCTGTTCACTTCTGTCTGTTGGCTTGTTATTGTACCAAATATAAATCTCTATTGGAGTTCCCGAGCACACAAACCTGCCTATCTTCATTGTCTTTGCAACCCCTTCCATTTTACCTTTTTTAAATCTCCAAATCTTCGTGGAAATTTCCAACGCCAATGAAAAGTGACAGATAACGAAGGGATAAAGTTTGTTGTATTTACCCATTAATCCCATTATTCCCAGTATTAATTGTTGATTGTGTTAATTTAATATTTGCTCATTGCGCATACTCTATCTGCGGTTAAATAAATTACATAACCAACAAATCACGCGATCCACGTCGCTTTGTATCCGCGAATATCGCCATTTCCCGTTTCACGAGGAGGGGCTTCTCGTTTCTCTCGGAATTCCTCGGCCTCTCGAACTCGATACAATTGAAGCCCCCTCTCAGCTCGGAAAAATCGCGCGAGCCGCCCCAGCGCATCGGATGTACGTTTTCTCTCTCACGTTCGCGGATCACGTCGACTACTTCGCGCACTACTACTACCCCGCGCGCTCTCTCCAAGGCTTTGACATTTAAATCTGACGCGGCACCCCGTGGAGGCGATTCGATTTACGTCGCGTCGACTCTTCCCATTACGCGAACGCGAAAGTAATTTAGCCGCGCGCCCCGTGGAACACGGGAGTTTCACGGAGCGAGCGAGCGAACACCTGCGGCATCATCGTCGGAATCACCTGCGAAACACCGTATTTTCTTGCTGCACGTGTGCGGGGCGGCGGGTCTCCGACCGCTCTCGAGACCGCGTATTTTCAATTAGCGGCGTTGATCGTGCAAGAACGAAACACCCGGGAATGGAGAAG